CCAATAAATACCTATGACTGCTGCAGAATCATTTTGTCCAGGAGTGAATAACAGTAACCTTTGCCATTGAATAAATAAATTTAAACGGATGTTAGAGGGTGTTATTAGTTTTTTTTGTGCTGTGAAAAGGGGATCAAATGATAACAGCCGAAAACGTCACTTAGTGCTGCCTTAAAAGGGACCTATTATGCTGACTTACAGGTTCAGTCTGCTATCTAAGGTTTCTACTTGAACATATTTACCTGCTTTAATGGTCATAACACACTTTACTTTCCTTTACTTTCATCTGTGTTCACTCTCTGTCTGAAACGCTCCATTTTAGCACCTGTCTCTTTAAATCCTCCTCCCAAAAAAGCCCAGTCTTCTCTGATTGGTCAGCGTTTCCAGGTCTCCCATATCTCAGCATCATTGCAGCCAGGAGAGTTAATGTAACAGAGTACAATGACACTTGCTGCTCTGTTTAAAATCACCAATAAAAGCTTTCAAACACAACCAGACATGTTCCAAACGGAATATGATGTAATTTTCAACATCAGCAACCAAGATTACATGTTTCCCTGATTTTAGCATGTAACTTTATAGCAGTGTAGGCTAACTAATGTAAACAACTGCAGTAATGTGCTTCAAGAAAGTTCACGAAACAGGTCACGAGCCTGTCTTGAAAGTGGAAAAACAAACAAAAAAAAAAAACAGCTGGAAACTGAATTAGACTTGCACCAAATACAATGTTTTGGGCCGATAACGATTTCCGATTTACAGAGCGTTCGGATGGCCGATTCCGATTTTGGCCGATTTCGATTTCATTTTTTTTCAAACCACTTTACAGCACACAAGATATTGCAATATTTTCTGTCTTTCCTTGATTTAGAACATTTAGTAAATCCCCATTGACTCCAATGTTAAAATGCCCAAATTTACAGCAGAAATAAACATGTTTACAGCCTGGTACAAAAAACGGTGTAGTCTCTATGGCAAATTTCAACATTTATGACGACTGTATGGGGGTAAATTTTTTATAGAACTCATCCATTTACATTTTATCAAGGCTCAAAGTAACAAATATTTAAGGGCGGGGCTACTTGAGTGACAGGTGTCACCACAGTCTATGAGTCAGATCCACCCTTCGCTAAAAATATGGTCACTTCTGGCTCCAAAAAAACATGATGGCAATGGCTGATATGCTGAACTCAAGGCTTCAAAACCAGAATCCACAAACCAATGGATGATGTCTCAGTAGCTACGCCTATTATTTATGCAGTCTATGACTAAAACCCATGCATAGAAATGGAACAATGTGTGAATTCATGAACATTTATATTTGTGTTTATGAGCATCATTTGAAGGTTATCCTCTATGTAATGTACAGTACACTGCATGACATCAGCTCCTTGTAAATCCAGGATTAAATCTTAAGGATGCTGAACTCCACATAAGCTGACAAAGGCTTTCTATTTAAACAAAAACTCTGGTGTCACTTCCTTCATTTCCTCAGTATTTTACATGAGCAACAGCCCATTTCCCATTTCATGCCTTTCATGTCATAATATAAGGTAGAACATACTGTCATTTCCTGCTTAAGTCAAGATTTGTTGAAAAAAAAAAAAAAAAAAGCATTGAGCCTGCTAACCTTGCAACAATCATACACACACAAAAAGACTGCTGTTTAATTCCACTGAAAACTACAATTTGAATACATTATGTAAAGACCTTTTTGTCAGGGAGGAAAGTTATTCACTGAAAAAAAAAGGACACAGATGTCCTCATGCTGAATACTGATAGCACTATATCACTAATAATGATCAGTAATTACTGGATTGATGAGGACAACAGCCAGAAAGAAATTTAATCATATTGTTTGTAGAGTTTATATGAACGGAGATAACACAGCATTTAAACTGACACGTGTGAACTATTCACCATTACAACGTTCTCAGCAGCTGTACTGTGGTTTTACAAATGAAATGTGAACTGCAGAAAAGTCACAAAAGTTCATGGAAGAGTTTAAGTACTGAACTGACAACATATTGAAAGAGGAAAACCGGATCCTGGGAAACCGTTTGATGCTCGAAAGTAACTTCTGTCTGTGATGGTTTTACCTTTCTGCTGCATTTACAATACAAAGAGGAATCTTCTAGGTTTGCTTTTGGCTTGCTTTGCGTCAGGAGGTTGTTTTCGTGGATATGTGAGGAGATTTGAAATAACCTCCCCTTGCAAATTATTCCCTTTACTTGCCAAGTGTATACTGTGTGTCTTTAACAGCCTATGTGAGTCTGACGTGCCAGAAATGAAAACCCTGTCCAACGATGTCATTTGTTTTTCACAATAAATTTTCGAGACATATTTTCCACCGAGAGCCCCGTCAGCCTGGCTGCTTGTAGACTTTAATCTGTTATGCTGTGTCCATGCTCAGTTCATGTTCAATTAAACCAAAGAAATACAATAGTATTAAGTCTGAAAACACAATTTGTTGTGTCTCTGCTCCACTGAGTTTCCTAATTGTACATCTTTCCCCTGCTATTTGTTCTCCACACATGTCTTTTTGTGTGTTTAGTCTGTGAAGCCACTCAAGTAAATAATTAACCAGTTGGAACGCAACATCTTAACTTTGTCTTTGTTTTTTCCTTTTTTTTTAAGCTCTAGATGCTCCTGACTTTAAAGGGCTGTTTGATTTCTGTGCTGTCGGCGTGTGGAAAGTTGGTTGATTTCAGACTTCAGCTTAAAATATTGTGCTAAATCAAATGAGAGCACAAACAGCAGTCCAATACCAGCCATGCACAAATTGAAATTATCAGTTTTATTATAGTCGATGATGTGTGGCACACACTGTAAAATTATATTTGGCGAATTACATTTTAGGATGTATAACAAAGGACAAAAATGCAATGATACTTAGAGACAGCATTTTCAGAAACAGGAAGGTTAATAATGTGCTATAAATAATGTCTGTTTACCTATTAGGTTTCTAGCTGAATGCACATTTAGTGATATTTAACACGGTATCACACACAGCTGAGCCGTCTCTATTTGGCTGTCCCACAGATATCTGCGTGACATTCTTTATGTCAGAGTGCAACAGCTACTTTGAAAAACAGCACCAAGGAAAAATAAGTAAGAACTAAAAATCAATATTAAATTGAGTCATTTTTACCTCTGTCAGGGAGGTTGTGATTTCAGCCTTGTTTTTTGTTGGCAGGCTATCTCTAAAAACTTACTAACAGATTTACATGAAACTTGGTGGAGACCATAGCCAAGGGCCAAGGAACAAGTTATTATTTTTTCGATGAGAATCTGGATCCAGGCACAGAACCAGGAATGTTTTAAAGGTGCTATCTATAGGCTTTATTTTATATTCTCACCACTCTCTCATCAAAGTATTTCACTGCTGGGAAGGTGGTCTCTTCATAAAACTAGGCTGTCTATGCTGTGAAGAGACATGAATACTTTTGAAAGTGCTGCTATGTGACCAGAAAAAAGAAAACAGAGAAAAGGGCTGTGGCATTTACTTTTGCTCAAGAGGTAGAAAACCCACAACTACCAGAACGCACTGCACTACACTGGACCAATAATGCTCCTGCTGGTGGGGGACGTAATGAAAGTTGGTTTCTATTTGTCAGAAAACAATATGGTGGCCAGCAGGTTACAAACAACCTCGAATTACAGCTAAACAGTGCACTTAAATATTTTTCTGAAGACATTTTAGGTGAGAAATATGCAATGCAGTAACAGAATCTTGGTTTATATCTGATTAACGCTGCTTAGTTTTACAGATGGATCTGTGTTTGAGAGAGAGAGGCGGCTCTCTCTCAATCCGCTTCACTCTTTGTGTTGGTGGTGACAGCGGGCATGCAAAAGTGAGGAAGTAAAAGCTGCTCTAGCAGCCCTAGAGCCTACTTAATCTGTCTGATTTTTTTAGCTGACAAATGAGAAGGGAGATCTGGGTGCTGGCAAAATGGAGGGTTGCTCAGTTCCTTTACATGTGCTACCCATATTGTTATGATACAAAGCTGGTTGAGAATTGGTGAATTATCCCTTTAAGTACAAACTATAAAAACTATAAATATCTAAAGATGTAATACTCAATATTATGATACTGAAAATGGATTTAAACAACACTGTGTAATGTGAAAGAAGTTATTCATATAGTGATAAGCCCACAAAGCCCACAGTTCCCCTTAACTCTACTGAACGTTTAAGCGTCTTTCAGCTCATTGTTTTGGTTCTACTGCCTGCAAATTTACTGTTTTGGTTCACAAACGCTTTACAACCTTGTTTTCAGTTGCAGCAGGCAGCTGTTTCTTGCAACAACAAAAAAAAGCTCTACAAACTGACATAATGAAAGCTAAAGTTGCTGTAACAACTTTATAAGGTGATAAAGTCAATGTCATGATTACAGCTTGTTCCACTGATGGTAAGTGGCCAAAAGAAATCAATCAATGCTGCTTTGAAGAATGTTTTCTCTTCTTAGAATTTCCTCAGCAGGTCAAAACCTACGAAGGAATGAATTAACGTAATGTTAACTGTAATAATGTCATAATAGTGTAATGTAATCTAAGAAATTTTAAGCATCAAACTCTTTATTTCCTGCATTTTGGTTCATTTCCATGCACCAATTACAGTGGACATATCTGTGTTTATTGGAGCTGGGGGAAAAACAAATACCGCATAGTATCAGGATAATCTGCGTAGCAGTACTGAATCAATACACAAATGCCAAGTATAGATTTTTCAATTATATAAATTATCAATATTAAAAATATAAATTAAACATTTGGTAGCCTTCCAGAATCATAAAATCAACTGGTTATGTCATCCATTATATTTATTTTGCTGCAATAAAAATGACTAGAGTGAGATAAACAAACCAAAAACTCTAAAGTTTTCCTTTGGGGACATATTTAACAGTTGAAAAGGGGTAATAATTCATAATATACTGCAATACATGTTATTGCAATACTTAGAATAAACGTTTAAAATCGCAATAATATCATATTGTGACTTACGTATCGTGATAATATTGGGTTGTGGGGCCTCTGGTGATTCCCACCCTGAGCATTCATGTGAGGGAAAACACAACATTCAGGCACCAGGTGACAATTCAAAATCTGACAATACAATGAAATATTATGCAGTACGGATTTCAGACAGCCTGTATTGCTTTCAGATATTCATTTTCCCCGTAGATCCACTTGTTATCCCTGCTGCTGAGTCAACAAATACTCTTAAGTTCTCATTTGTGCCTTTTGTTTGGGGAAGCAACTTCTTTAAATGTGCATGTGGCACCTATTTACATCAATAATACATTTATTCATTTTAATTTTTCTTTTTTTTTTATAAACCCCTGGACCTTAATACCTCCTTTGTGTTTCAGAAAGATTTCTGCTCACGTTCAAAACTTCCTGCACATTCAAAACACAATCCCACGTCTGTGTTCTTTGAGATTTCAGTAATAAAGTCATAATATTTTAGAAAGAAAAAAAAATCAACCTGCCCTTTAGTCCGCTGTGCATTATCTTATTGCTCTGTGCTTTAGTATCCCCTTCAGACCGTCTGACAGACACATACTGTAACCCGGTTTGGTGCTCTCTCTGGATGAGACAAAGTTCAGGAAAGTGGTGTGCGCTGCTCTTTACTGGAAGTGAAGACTATTACAATTTCTGGTCTGTAGTGAGCTCGCCAGCCCAGGACAGTCTGTCTTTCATATCACTGAACAATCAACGGGATATCAGTACTATAACATTATGATCATGGAGGGCAAAGCTCTTCATACTGCCCCATGTAAAGGAGACGGAACTTAACAAACACCAGTAGAAACACTTTCTCAGAGCCCGTGAAAATTATATCTGATATAAACACACGAAATTAATATCAAACTAGTGGTGGGGACAATTTTAGGTAATCAGAAAAGTGGTTAGGACATATCTCTACCACTCCTACCATTGATGCTGGCTTATGTGTCGATTTTGAATCTGATGGTGTTATATTATAAGGTGTGCAGTGGATAAAATAATATGGATGCCTTACAAAAATGCATCTCAACACAGAAACATCACATTTTATGCCCCAAAGATGTGTCATCTTAAATTATACAGGTGATTTGTATTCTCAAAATAAAAAAAAAACTTTTATTGCAGTCTGCTCTCTCTCACATACTGCACAGATTTCTTTTTGCAGCCAGTGTCTGAGAATTTTTAATTTTAGTGAATTGCAGCAATATAAGACTTTAAAAAAATAAAATAAATTCCTAGAATAGTTAATTTTCTGAAGCACAAAGTAGGGAGGATGACACCTTTCAGGCCTTTTGACATGTCAGTGTGAAATGTGAAATCTGTTACAGCATAGTAGATGTTTTTCAGTTTTGTGTTTTGTCTCTCATCGAACGGCTTCTTGTCATTCTGCTTTTCATAAAAATAAACACAAACTCCTCCTTACAAACCAGCATACAGAGAGCATCTAAAATTAATGCACAAGTCAGCGTGAGTACACTTAGGTGATAGAAAACAACCACTTCCATTTTTTATTCATGTACAAAGTCATGTTCTAAAATCCTCTCCTTCTATCATAAAGATGAACATGTATTTACAGCTTTAGATGGAAACCCTAAAAGTAATAAAATCTACATATGCAAACGAGCTGTCTGTTAAGAAGGCTAAGCCGAACAGTGAACTATTGTAATGTGAACATCTGGTGTTTGTTTCTCTGAATGTTTTCTATGTGATTGGAGTGCAAAATTATTATTCATATTTACTTTGTTTGCCTGTTATCAGACAGAACTGTCAGCACTTTAAACTTTGCTTCTATCTTCAGTCTGACAGTGTGTCCACTCTGATTTTTATGGAGGCGGAGGATTTGATTTTACCAAACCAATCAGGGGAGACAAGGGGTGTAACAGTAAGTGTATTTGTTCTGAACCATTCTGTACAGGACGACCAGTTTGATATGCAACTGACCTTCTGTACACTCTGTGACCTTTACAGTCAAATTCATTAATGTTTACTACTCAAACACGTGGAAAAAAAGATATTCAGAAGCCAGTTCGTTGTGAAAATTTGCAGTTACCTATCTGGCTGTCACCACTCCCTCCCTCCCTGTCTTTCATGTGGCACCGCAGCTGCGTGAAGGGGCGGAGCTATCCCATCTCTCTGTCTCCATATTGTGTGTGGTCCACGTCCTCCTCCTCTTCATCATCATTCACCTGAATATTACTATCTGACCTATTAAAAGTGAGCTATCTGAGTTATGAAATGATTTGGTGCGCCCCATTCCTGTTGTTGCGACTGTGTCCCACTGCCATATTTTCTTTACTGATTCTTGGTCAAACGTCTCTAAAGGACTAAATGGACGAAAGTTTAATGACAGACCTGGTGTACAAACATGACTGACACAACGTGAAGTCGTATTGACATGCGACAATTTTGGATGAAACAAATGGACTCTGTGCAAAGACCTTTATGACGGAGCATGACATTACTGACATTTGTGTTATTTTTTTCTTAATAACAATATGCCAGTGTTTGAATACTTTAACTCTTAACGTACGAATTATGGCCGATGAGCTGCTAAAAGTTTACATTTTTTATAATACATCAATTCTTCCCCTGCTGTATCAAAAATGTACCAAACTGTGACAACAAAACCAAGGCTCATGCCAAAGCATGAATTTTGTGTAGCATTAAACTCATACTAGAGACCAACGTATCTGCCTGAATGTCATTTTGAGTCGCCGCTGATGCATAGCCATGACAACATACTGGTTTTGCAGGGTTTTAAAAGTGAAGCAGAGTGAGGTAAATACAAACTATGATGTCAGGTGATAATCACTTTAGAACAGCCTTGGTAGCAGCGTCTATCTTGTCTCTATCAGTCACCACTGTTGTTATTACTTGTCATTGATTCCTGCTAGACAACAGCTTGACAACAGCTTGACAACAGGGTTAGCCCTGCCCGATGCGCTGATTGGCTAAATGTTAGTCCCCCTGCAGCATTCATTGAATTGATTGCTTGTTAAACCCAGAAATCCGTTGTTTCATGTCACGATGTCAGACGAAATCAGCCAATACGGAGGAGTGGGCAAATTCAAAGATCTGGACCAAGGTCATTTGTTTCTTTGATGGTTGATTGGTAGATAATTCCTCAATACTCATCCTAAACTGTCACGAACACTTGAATGTATTCTCTGTAAGTTTGATGAATTTATACTTGAATACAATGGAATTTCTGATCACTATTGCATGAAAGGGTAGTGCAGGCTCAGTCAGATACCTTTGCCCACAACAATACATCTCTAAAGGTGCCAAATTGCCATTTAGTGTGTTGAAAGGTTTCGTTCCACACAGTTTTCGGTCCACATTGAAATGTCAAAAAAGAAGAAATGGTAAAATTGCTTCCTTTGTTTCTCTCTTTTAGTTTGATGGTACTTTGGCAAACACTAAAATGGAGCATTGCCTCCATCCATGGTGTTTGGATGAATGACAAATACAGCCAGTTAGAGCACTTTGGGATAAAACTCTTTTTCTGTCATCACTGACTTTCAGACATCAAACTGAAAAATACTTTTGAAACAAAATTTCTAATTCTCTGTGTTGTTGGCTGTATTACCAGGCAAAATAAGTGACCACAGGGGGGGGGGAGTTAGTTTGGCTTCCCCTCATTGCTGTGAACCAAAATGACCTGATTTGTTTTAGGCGTTGGATGAGGCCACGGTGGAGTCAAAACCTGTCATTGTTTAAAAATGTGACCTTTAGTTAGTATCGCCTCCATCAAGCTAATCACTGTAATGTTTTTCAACATCACTAAACACTGCCGGATTAAATCATGCATCAACATTTTAGCAACGTTGCATGGAGATGGTGCCTGCCATGTCACATTTAAGTTTAAAAAATTTAATTACAGAGCCCCTCCAATCAGTCTGCTCTTCTGAGACATCACCACAGATACCCCATTACCAGACGGATTGACACAGTCCCATCATCACAATCTCTCTTCAAAGTGCAAGACAAAAAAAAACGAGACGGCTGCATAATGTTCCATTTTATTTTTCACCTCTCCTCTAAAGCAAGGGCAGCAGTTTCAATCAAACCAATTGACTTCTGCCTGACCTCTCTGCTATGACTACAGTCCAGAAACGCCTTAGGCAGAGCTGAATCCGCACACTAAGCCCTAAGAATAGGAGTGCTTTAGACTGTAGCCTACCTAATTGACTCTGTAATAGTGTCATAGTTCAGTGCCACCAAATTGACTGAGTTTTCAAGCAAGCTTTGGCAACACTGATACCCTTAAAAATGACGAAAAAGACCTCCCAGTGTAACTCCAAGTTTATCACCCTTAACACAACAAGGAGCAACAAAACAGTGGCGATGTAGCACTCAGTATTTACCTCTGCGTTTAGAATTGATCTCTCTGAGCCAATTACATCAACATGCCAATAAATGTCATGGATAACTATAGATCATGCCATGATCTTAAACATCAATACTTTTATGTGAACAGTGGATAAGACACATTCATGTAAAAGGGTCGCTTGTGGTGACAAAGAATCGCTCTACAAAGCATCTGAACATAGCATCTTCAGCTCATTGTTCTGGTTTAAAGGTCTGTAGCTTTTCCTTTCTGGTTCAGTCAGAACCAACAGTACACTATCTGCCCCACACCTAGGGATGGGTATGGTTAAGATTTTATCGATACTCCTTATCAGTACGGTACTATTGGTACTCTTATCGGTTCTTTTTCATTTCTAAATAATTGCTTTTTTAGAAAATATAATTTTATAAGTTTGTCTCAAATAAGTTTAAACGTATCTGCCCAATTTTATGATAAGTGTCAATCTAACCTAGTCTACATACAGACAGCTGTCATTTGAGCTTATTAGTAACAATTCACTATCAGCCGAACTAGTGTGCTGTCTAAATCAGCATGTAAGACATAATGGCAGTGTTGGTGGATGAGAGACTGTGGACGGAGCATATTGAATATCGCTGTCTACACGTTTACATGTTTATGCTTGCTGAACACATGTATTGATAAAGTATTGGCTTCTTACTCGCTAAGA